ACCCTATGATTCAATAATGAGTGTTATTGAAAAAACCAAAGAAACAGAAACTCTTAGTGTGCAAGATGTGATGACATCCTTGGGAGTTTTTGACCAAAGACTTGAGAGGCATGCTGACTCTGCCGCTGAAAGAGCTTTTCAATCTTTCAATATTGGTTCTAGTAGTCAAGCTAGTGCAAGTAAACATAAACCATATTAGAAGGGCAAGTTCAAAAGATGGGAAGGAAATGTGTTTCAAAACCCTAGACCTAACTATAGCAGCAACACTAGTGAGGGTCCAAAAATCAAACAGTTGTGTAAGCACTGTGATAAATCCCACTAATGAATGATTGCAGATCAAAAAATGTGCAACAGGTGAACTGTGCAAATCAAGTGGAAGAATAAGCAAATGTGTTTAGTGCATTCAGTGCCAAAGTTAAGAAAAACAATGAAATATGGTACATTGATAATGGTTGTAACAACCATATAATTGCAAATGAGTCACTACTCATTGGCATTGACACTAGTTTCACAGGAAAAGTAAAAATGAGAGATAGGAACATTGTTAAAGCTACTGGGAGAAGAACTCTAGTTATTGAAACCAAGAAGGGGAGAAGACACATAAAGGAAGTTATACTAGCCTAGATTGGATGAGAACTTACTCAGTTGGTCAAATGATGAAGCCTGGCTATTTGCTACTCTTTGGAGGAACTATGGTTGAAATATTTGATGACAAGTCTCTCTTAAACTTGGTAACCAAAGTAGAGGTGAAAAACAGAAGCTTTCCACTCATTCTAAGATATTTTGAAGAAATGTCAAGGATATCAAATGTGACAAGTTCAATGAAGATATGACACAAGAAACATGATCACTTAAACATGACAAGTCTTCAAAATCTGCAAAAGTATGAAATGGTGCAAGGTATACCAAAGTTAGATCTTTCTAATGAAACTTGTGAAGGGTGTGTGTTTGGAAAACATCACAAAGATCCATTTGAACGTGGCAAAGATTGGAGAGCAACTATACCACTCGAATTGATTCACACTGATGTGTGTGGCCCTATGCAAACTCTAACAATCAGTGGAAACAAGTACTTTTTAACCTTCATTGATGACTACTCGAGGATGTGTTGGGTGTATTTCATGAGGTTTAAATCTGAAGTGTTCATAATTTTCAAGAAGTTCAAAGCAATGGTGAAATTACAAAGTGAACACCAGATAAAAAGGCTAAGAAGTGATAGGGGATGAGAGTATACCTTTCTGAAGTTCAATGCATTCTGTGAAGATGTGGGATTAGAGAAGCAACTTACTATGGCATACTCACCACAACAGAATGACATTGCAGAAAGAAGAACATAACTATAGTCGAAATGCCTAAGTCAATGATGTATGAGAAGAATATGCCTTATTCTTTCTAGGATGAAGCAACGAATATTGCAGTGTACTTGTTGAATAGGTGTCCTACCAAAACATTAAACATGAAGACACCATTTGAAGTTTTCAGTGGAGAAAACCATTTATGAAGCACTTAAGGGTATTTGGCTCAGTGTGCTATGCTCACATACCACAACAATTAGGGCAAAAACTGGAGAAATCAAGCAACAAATGTGTCTTTGTGGGCTATGGTACTAGTGAAAAAGGGTACATGGTCTTCAATCTGTCAACTCAGAAGATAAATCTATCTAGGGATGTTATTTTTTATGAGAACTCCACATGGAAATGGGAAACAAGTGTAGAAGAGAAAGACAGTGTCTCTCTACAACTTGATCTCAATAAGGGAGAAATTAGACAGCGTATTGAGACCTCAATTCAAGAAGAAGTCATAGAGAATAATGAGACACATGAGACTTTATAACAAGCAAGTATGAGTCCACAATCAAGTCTTTCACATATTATAACACCAAGCTCAACTCCAGTGAGATTGATAAGCCTAAAAGAGATATATGCCACTTACAACTTTTGTGTGGTTGAACCAAAGACCTATGAGGAAGCTAAGAAGACTAAGTCTTAGAAGAAAGCAATGGTAAAAGAGTTGCAAATGATAGAGAACAATGACACTTGGGAATTGGTGAATAAACCAAGTGACAAGCTTGTGATTGGAGTGAAATGAGTATATAAAACCAAGCTAAATCTAGATAGCTTTATGCAAAAGAACAAGGCCAGATTATAGCTAAAGGCTACTCATAGAAACTAGGTGTAGACTTCAATGAAACCTTTGCTCCAGTAGCAAGGTTAGACACAATAAGGACCTGAATTGCCCTGGCAGCTAAAAGGGATTGGAAGTTACATAACTAGATGTGAAATCTGTATTCCTAAATAGGAGTGCTAGAGGAGGAGGTGTTTGTGGAACAACCTCAGGGGTTCACAAGTGAAGAATTTCCAGATAAGGTGTATAAACTGAAGAATGCGCTTTATGGCCTAAAGCAAGCTCCAAGAGCTTGGTACAGTGAAATTGGCTCTTATTTCACTGAGAAAGGATTTCAAATGAGTCATAGTGAAGCTACCCTCTACACTAAAATAGAAAACAACAACAAGACGTTCATTATATTAATCCATATGGATGATGTTGTCTACACTAGAGATGATGAAGCTATGATTGCAGAATTCAAGGAAGAAATGATGAAGAGGTATGAGATGATAGATCTAGGCCTCTTACATCATTTTCTTGGCATTGGGGTAATTCAAGATGCAAGCTGCATCTTCATTCACTAGAAGAAGTATGCACTAACATTGCTTGTGAAATTTAGGGCTGGAAAAAATTCCCGAAATTCCTAAACCAAACCGAAAAAGTCCCAAACCCAAACCAAAAAATCCCAAACCAAAAACATTCCAAAGTTCGGTATTCCCGAAATCCCAAAAAATATCGAAATATTTGGTATAAGATTGGTTTCCAAATCTCAATTATTCGGTTCCCACTTCCCAACTTAAAACCAGAAGCCTTTTGGCTCCTACTAGCAAAAACCTTTCGGTTCCCACTTCCCAACTCAAAAGCAGGAGCCTTTTGGCTCCCACACTCTTTATCTCTCTCTCTCTCTCATTATCTCTATCTGCAATGTCAACCCAGAAAGGCGAAGCCACCTAAACTTTCCTTCAACTCAATCCAAACCCAAGCCAACACATCCGTACTTTATCTCATTTCTCATCTTTGGCCTTTCACTCGGTCTCAAATTCTTTTTGTCTCTCTATTTTTTGCTTCTCGAATTCGAAGCTTAGCAGCCACCACCCTCTCATAGTTTCACTTTGATGAACTCTCTTCGCTCCGGCCACCACCACATCCGTACTTTATCTCATTTCTCATCTTTGGCCTTTCACTCGATCTCAAATTCTTTTTGTCTCTCCGTTTTTTGCTTCTCGAATTCGAAGCTTAGCAGCCACCACCCTCTCATAGTCTCACTTTGATGAACTCTTTTCTTATGCAGACTATGATGTACCTTTGACAGAAATTCAAACCTTTTTTGTGAGAATGCATGTTTAGGACCTTGCATCATTTGTTCTTGTAAGGTTCTGTCTAGTTTACTCGAAAAAGAAAGTTGCTTTGATTATAGGTGGAAGTTTCATAACTTGAAGATTGTACAATTCTAAATCATGGGGAAATGTATGCATTCTTAATAAATGAGATCAGGACGCAAGTTTCATTATACTTTATAAAAGTGGTACTGATATCTTAGAATTGATTCTCTCTGTAATTGTTTACATTTTCTCACACAAATATACACATAAGCACATGCACAGACATACATTCTCTTACACTTATCTTTTGCTTTGCTTCTTACTTTTTTTGTTACTTCTTGATCAAATAAGTTGGCGTTATTGGAATCTATATTTCTTACATTGCTTTTCCAATGGATTTTGTCACCGTAACCTGGTTACCTGACTGCCTGAAAACCCAAAACTATTTCGGAATTCCTGATTTGTCCCGAAATCCAAAAATTATTTTAGGATTCCCAAAATTTGGGATTCCTGAAAATTTGGTTTAGGATCGATCTTGAAATTGGGATTCTCGAAAACTTCAGTTTGGGAATCGGGACATAGTTTTTGGTTCGGTATCTTATACCGAACCAGCCCTAGTGAAATTTGGTATAAAAGGCTGCAAACCAGTCTCTACACCCCTAATTGCAAATGAGAAGTTGAAAGATGATGGGAGTGAAGCCGTGGATTCAAGTTTCTACAAAAGCATTGTTGGTAGTATATTGTACCTAACTGCAACAAGGCCTGATCTAATGTTCTTAGCAAGCCTACTTTCAAGGTTTATGCAGAATCCTACTAAGATACACATGTGGACAGCTAAAAGAATGCTGAGATATGTGCAAGGCACACTTGACTATGGAATCAAGTATGAAAAAGGGAAGTCAACTATCCTAATTGGGTTCTGTGATAGTGACTGGGGTGGCAGCGAAGATGATTAGAGATGCACATTAGGCTATGCATTCACTTTTGGTTCAGGGGTTTTCTCTTGGGTATCAGTGAAACAACAAAGTGTTGCATTATCCACGGCTGAGGCAGAGTATGTGAGTGCCTCAGAGGCATCAGCTCAAGCCATCTGGCCAAGATTCATACTCAAGGACTTTGGTGAATTGTAGGTTGATGCCACACCACTTCTATGTGATAAGACATCTGCAATCGCCATGACTAAGAACCCAGTCTTTCATTAGAGAACAAAGCACATAAAGAGAAGATATCATTTCATCATAGAAGCATTGCAAGAGAACATAATCAAGCTACACTACTGCAAGATAGAAGAACAAATTGCAAACATTTTCATGAGGGCTCTTCTAAAGGATAGATTCAATTATTTGAGGGGATTGCTCGAAGTGACAACCATAACCAATTTAGAGGGGAGTGTTGGAACCTAAATTGCTTCTAGTTCCAAGGATCGAAGGCAACAAGGTGAAGCTCCAACGGATAGTTTGCTGCCGAGTCGAAGAAGAAAGAAGAAACAAAGGGTTTTAGAGTTAACGGCCAATTTTTGTTTTAAAGCTTTTGTGTGTAAGTGAGTGCCATTTGTACACTCCAGATTAGATCACATAAAATCCCAATGAAGGGCTATGATTAAATGTGGAGTATGGTAGTCAAATTCATAATACATGCTTGTCCTCTAGCACAATTAGGAGAGATGTTTGTGAGTTGGCAATGAACCAAAACCCTACATACACTCCTATATAAATGAAATTATAGATGATGCAATTGCACAGCCTTGTAGCCGTCAAATACGTGCAACATTCCTTATTCATTCTGTCATTTCGAATCCCTAAGAAATCTAACCAAAACAGCTACAAAAACACATCAAAGTACCAACTTTATGAGTAACCTGGGTGTGATCATCTTTTGTGTCTTCATCTTTATCTTTTGTGTCTTCATCTTTTGTGTCTTCATCTGAAACTATAGGAATTCTAATATCATATGCAGGTAATATGCCAATTTGTTGGCCTCCAAAGGTAGCATCCTGCAAAGTGATCACTCCCTTCCTTTCAGCCACACTCATAAATTGATTAAAACAAAATAAGATGAAGCACTTTAAATACTAAGATTTGAAATATAAACAGATTTTTTTGGCTTCTTACATCAAGGAGAAGGGCAGTTTGAAAAGCATAAGGCTGCACAAAAGTCACCAAAGCATATGGTAATTGGTCTTTATCCCTGCAAATTATGAAATAATTAACATTAAATTAATCAACAGAAGTTAAATAAGAACAAATTGATCAACAAAAGTTAAATAAGAACAGAATGATCAAGCAGTTAATAATTTGGAGGTTGTTTGCCTCGTGAGCTGGATTTGTTGAACAGTTCCACAGTAAGAGAAGAAGGTATTTAATTCTGCAAGAGTCACCCTTGGAGGAAGGTTGAGAACCTGAATAGTTAAATCTTCTGTGGCCATATTATTATGTTTCACAGTTGCTCACCATCCGCCTTCTACTAAACTTCATAGTCTGATTATTCCTTGTACAATACAAAGATGCTTCGAATTAGAATCCAAAACTAACAAAGAATTTTGAAAAAAGCATACAACTAGGGTATAAAGTAGATAACAACTTATTCTTGGTTCCCTTTCCCTTTTCTGTTTTGGTCGTGACAACATGATAAGAGAGGGAAAAATCATTGTACGATACTAGAATTTATGTAGTAAGGTATTATAACGAATTCGAGTGGTATGATATGAATGGATAACGCGTGCATGTTTTATATGGCAACATGACATTATTAGTTAGGCACATGAGTAGTGCAAGTCCAAGAATTTTTTCTTCAAAAATGCTTCTCTTACCACATTACCATATTACATTTGTACCACATCTTTGACAGAGACGATGGGCGCTACCTCTATTAGAGAGATGATACAAATGTGATATAGAAAATGTGATAAGTGTAGCATTACTTGTTCAAATATGAAATATCTATTGAAATCTAATTAGTGTGATAAATATAGGAGTGATTTTCAAATGAACCAGACAGGAAATAACGTTTCTAATTTTCGTTTCAAAATTCTAGAATCATATCAGATCACAATTATCAAATTTGAAAATTTTGGAATCGAGTAATCTTAGAAATTTCAATACATATAAAAAATTCATATAATTCATAGGTTTTGAACATGGTCGAATTTTTTATTATTCTTTCTGTACATTTTGGTATAGGCTTACCTCTAATTCAATTAAATATTTGTATATTAGTGTGCTTATACATTTTAATGTATTAATATATGTTTAATATAAAAATAATAAACAAATGGTATCCCAAACTGAAAATAAAACAGGGGTCTCAAAGTTAATTACAAAATACATAATTTGAGTAATAACTAAAAAAAATTCAAAATATTTCGAATAAAAAATGAAATGAGTTTGGAACACTTTGAAAAAATCAGAATGAAAATTTATAATTATAAAAATCCAATACATTGCAATTTAAAAAAAAAAAATTGACTTTGAAATTATAAATTTTGAAACTTTATTTCGAAATCGAAAATATAATTCCAACTTGCTTTTTTTTTTTTTGGTCGAATATACTTTGAAATTATAAATTTTGAAACTTTATTTCGAAATCGAAAATATAATTCCAACTTGCTTTTTTTTTTTTTTGGTCGAATAATTCCAACTTGCTAGATACATCATACATACATGTTTGTTCGTGCAACAGATACCACTAGTGAGAAGGAAGTAAATTTCAAACGTTTCCATTGCTTTGAGAGAGGCACAAAAGGACTTTTAGATTCTCGGGGCCGCGTCGGAAATCGGAAATGAGTTGCAGTCATGGAATTGCTTTTTGACACTCTCTTTCCCTTCCTTCCCGTTTCATTTTCGTTATTCCCCTTTGGACCTTTCACATCACATCATGTACCAAATTAATAATACCAACTAAGAAATATACATTTTGTTATAACATATAAGCATTATTGTAATTTGTAATCATCTAAAACTTTTAATCTTAGTCATACATTGCAACTCACATTCATTGAGATTGTTTATGTAAAAACTATAAAACGTTTTTTTAGCTGCGTTTAACAAAAAAAGTTCGAACTCCTTCTAGGTAATGGATAAGCACTTTCAGTTTTAAACACTTTCAAGTAATTTTTTAAAAATGTTTACATGTGATAAATTAGTCTGGTAATCAGGACATTCTTCTTCAATTTACTGTATCTCAATTTCAAACCCTCCCCTCAGGGCCTTAGTGTAGTTTAGACTAACAATTTCATTTGTAATAAATAAATAAAATATTTCAAAATGTTTTTGGTGAACTGAAACCACTTATAAGTGTTTCCAATAAAAATAAGGGTTCTTTAGATATAGACCCTTGAAACTTCTATTTTCCAAATAAAAACCCATCTAAATTTAAACATTCAAATAAAACCCAAATTTCAAATAGCCTACCATGTTGACAAATATATGACCAACTATTACAATACAATTACAACTTATGCCATAGAATCCTAATTTGGTCAATAAATGTTATTACTCATCCTAATTATGATGAGCAATTAAATCCATATGGATATTTTACCTTTCTTGTATCATAAATATTAGCAACATATATAAATTAATTTACCAAATTTAAAAGAGAAAGACAATCTTGTACGGAAAAAATAATATTGTTTGAATTATGTAATTACCTATATACAAATTAATTTACCTACTTATAAAATATTATACTAATAAACCTGCATTTTGAATCATGTAATTACCTACATACAAATTTTATACTAATTTACCAACATTTAAATTAATTTACCTACTTATAAAATATTATACTAATTTACCTACATTTAAATTAATTTACCTACTTATTAATATTATACTAATTTACTTACATTTAAATTAATTTACCTATTCCAAAAAAAAAAAAAAAATTTAGTGATATTAGATAATGTTCGAATGTTGTGGGTTTGTGCTTGCAGGCAATTAAATAAACTTTTAATCTAATGCACATAAATCATGTAGGTAAATTAGACCATTTTGAAAGTAAACTAGACCCTTTAAATTTTGGTTTGATGTAATAGGTAAATTACACTATTTTATAGGTAAGAATTGCGCGGAACATATAGCTTTTGTTTTGTGTATTAGGGATTGGAATATTAGCCGAAGTTGTTTTAGGTTTATTGTTGTGTTGGTAGGTAAATTAACTTATATATGTAATGCACAAAATTATGAAATTAGTATTATTATTTTTCAATTGGCACGTTATAACAATTTGAAAGTTAATACATTGAATATACAATGAATGGCATGAATTATTTTGTAAAATATATAAAATTAATTAAATGGATATAACAAGTAACTGATCCAAAAACTCCATCCAAGTATTAATAGGGGTAGTTTAGGCATTCGAAAAATACACAATTTGAAAAGTCAAACTTAATTAAAGAATTTGTTTAGTTGGAGGCTAGTAAATGAACTTTATTCAAGAAAACAAAAGGAGATGAGTTTTAGTAGAGGAAAATATAGTTTCAAGGGGTAATATCAAATTTTCAGTAAAAATAATTCCAAATAAGTGGAAAAAAAATTATTTTCAAGTGTTTCTCAACTGATGCATTAGTTCTCCTTTCACTTATATAATAATAGATGATGCATCGACTCGTTTCTAGACACATAAAAATCTTTCTTCTAGAACAAGAGAAGAGATCCTCTCCAAATCTCTTCTACTAAGGCTAGCAGATTAAGTGATACAGGTTTTTGAAATTTCATCCAACGGCCAAAAAATATTATAACTTGGGGTCAAAATAGGTGAGTCGTTAGATAAAATTTTAAAAATCTGAATCACCTGATTCGATGACCTTAGTAGAAGAGATTTGAAGAGGATCTCTTTTCCTAAAACAATACATGAGTGGTCAAATTTACTTTTGTTCAACTCTCTTTACATACTCTCTTAACCGATTACTGGTCAAAGTTTGAAATCAATTTATCAATCATCACTCTTCCCGTACATTAATAGAGGCTACTATCTTATGGTCAGATTCATCTTGACTCCATTTGGATTGAATAACTTTGTAGAAAGAAATAATTTTGATTTGTTTCACAACAAACACATAAACAAATTGATAAAGAAATAAACATTATTGAGTTAGTCTTCATGCCTTCCAACCAATTTCTTTTTTTTTTTTTTCAAATAGAAAATGGAGCATGTTTTAAAAATATAATTTTTCTCTATGATACATACAATTGAGTAATCTAAAAAATGCATATAAAAACTAATAAATCCTTACAATTGTTAAATTTTTCATAAAATATGCATAACGCAATGACATGTACATATAATCAACTCCAAAAATAAAGAAAAGAAAAAAGTTGCCTCACCAGAAAAACATTGACAACTTTAGGAATGTGATTTGCTGCCGGCTTGCCGCTGAAATTTGTAGGCTCAAAATCGATGCGCAGGGCATCCTTATGATGTGTCTTATGCTTATTTTAATAAAGTCAAATCAAATCATATAATTAAAGAAAAAGTTAAAGGCAAAAGACAAAGCAAAACTAAAAGGGAAAACGAGCGTACAAGATTACGAGGCTTGGGGAGCCAAGCCGAGGGCCCAACTAAAAAGGGCATTCATCAAACATTTAACGACTACCATAATCAAATTTGTTCATTTTTTACGTACTAACTTAAGAATTATATTTACTAAAATTCAAATAAATGAACATTGTTTAATAAGCTGTAAGTAGCGGACAATTGACAATTTTAACAAAAATTAAGATTTATCACATATTTATTTGATACATATGAATAATAAACAATTTCTAATTTAACTAAACTTTTACAAACATGATCTTCAAAAGCGTACCAACAGTGGCCAAAGTGATGACTCGTTTCCTTTTACTTTTGGGAACACAAATCAAATGTGATATTCCATGTCAGTTATAGTTGGTGCCTCGTGGCAAACGGGAAAACAGAGCTCCATTCCTCGTACGAGCAGAGAGAGTCAGCTACGTCCTACAGTACGAGAAAGCTCCGGCCAATACCACGTTGCGTTCTATCCCTTCTCCTCACTCATACCTGTCATCCTCCTGTCCTCTGTCTAAGCTCATATTTTTTACCGACAAAAAAACAAAAACCAACAACAAAAATCAATATACAAAAAGAGGGCAAAACGAAAAAAATATTCGGAAAAATCGGCGATCGGAGACGTCGGGAGGGAAATCGCCACGGGAGCAGAGATCATTTCCCTCTCGGACGGACTTGTAATCACTACCCAACCTCTTCGTACACCTCTTTGGGTTTGGTGGCAACCGGTTCCGACTCGAGCCTCGTCCCCGATCCACACCCACTTTCCGATTCTAGCCAAGCTGATCGCTTTCATGGCGTTTCAAATGCATTGAACAGAAAATCCCCTGACAATGTTCAATTTTTAAACCCAAACCCTTCTCCGTTCCCCACTTTTCGGGCGACAGAGCTTCGGATTCGGTTCTCTTCTCCTCCCCGTCGAAAACCCAGAAAAGAAAAATTCAAACCGGCAAAAAGGTACGTCAAAGGTTTCATTTTTTTTTCTGAAAAATGAATATCGGCTCGGGAATTTTTTGAGCATTTTTTATTTTGTTAATCTGGGTGTGTTTGACTCTAGTTGGATGCGACGGGCATTGTGTTTTCCGAGCTGGGGCGTTGAGGGTTGGGGTGCTTGTTTGAGCGGCGGATCGTACGGTGGCTGGTGGGTCAGAATCAGATGCATTGAGGTGGAGGGATTGTAGGGAGGGAGGGGCCATGAGAAATAACGACATGGTCAGAACGCAGCAGGAAAGAATGCACGCAAATGCTCTGCCTCAGCATTCTGACTCCGACCGTCGGATTATTGACGCCCCTGGCTCGTCCCTGCTGCTTTATCAAGTTTGGAAAGGAAACAATGTAGGTGATTAATCTGTGAAGACATCTAATACCAATCACATTGCATGTAAAAACAACAGAAGATGAATACAAATCCATATATCTATCAGTTTACTTTCGTAATCCTCGCATTTCGTAGATTCAGCTGTCTTTGGATTGAAGCCCTCATGGCCTTACAATGAACTGATTCCGTCTGATTTCTTGCAGAAATTTTGCTTTAATGGAAGAATTATATTGGGTCCAGATTCGAGGTCATTATTCCTTACTGTGTCCCTAATTGTGGTTCCGGTGATCCTGTTTTGCGCTTTTCTTTCGCAAGGACTAATTCATCAACTCCCGCTCTACATTGGCATTCTTGTTGTGGCTTTATGTCCAGTATTAGCAGTATATGTGAGTTCTTCATCTTAGACAACTTGTTTTTCAATTATTACAACTATCAAAGATGTCACGGTAGGAGGAAAATTGAGAGAAAAGAGGAGAAATTTCCAGCCATATACTTTGCAACTTTATTACCAAGTTTATTTGAGTTAACTATCATATTGTTGTTTTTCGGACACCAGAATATGATAATATAATTCTTGAAAGTCAGATGGAGCACAAGTGCACTTAAAGATTTATTTCCGCTTTAAGGCAAAGACAATCGGTAGTTTCATTGGTTTGTAGAGATGTTCTGAAATCATAATATGTTTTGCACGTTGGGTTGATGTTGGTCAAGTTTTGACTTTTGCCATTCATCCATGAAGAGTGCGGAGGGCAACAAGACCTGCCTGGTCTTACTTACCAATTGTTAGAACCCGTTAAACGAGTCGGTCCTATCTGTTAGTGTATGCTTTTGATCAAATTGGTGCTGTGAAATAAGTTTATTTGCTCGATTTTTCTTTGAAGAGCATTTACGTTGTTTGCAGTGGTGAACTTTTGTAGGTATTTATAACTGAAGGTTACTTTTGGATGTATTTATAACTGAAGATTTTTGGCCTATCAACTAGTGCAGGTTGTGATTCTTCTCTTGATCACATCTGCAAGAGATCCTGGCATTATTTGTCGCAGCTTGCATCCTCCAGAACCAGAAGATGACGGCTATGTCTCTAGTATCTCTTCTGATTGGCCAGGAAGTCAGAATGGGCCTCCAGGCATACCACCCACAAAAGAAGTTATCATTAACGGCATGATAGTTAAAACCAAATATTGTCAAACATGCATGCTATATCGCCCACCCCGATGCTCTCACTGCTCTATATGCAACAACTGCGTTGATCGTTTTGATCACCATTGCCCATGGGTGGGGCAATGTATTGGCAAAGTATGCTTCATTTTGATTGAACTAGCATTTTAGCTGGAATTTACTGAGTTATTCAATTTTCGAATTTTAATTTTATCTTCCGTAATATGATATAAGGTACAATCTTTTAGCAGAATCAAACCAATCTCTTAGTTGTGACTTGTCAAGTTGAATGTCTTTCACTCACTACTTGCACGGTTCATGCATCTAGGGTTGTGAGTTTCCAACACTCGATTCATCTTTAGCTCAAGTGTTTGTTGGATATGTTATCTTTTCATAGTCCTTACACTGTTAAAGTTATTTTTTTTTACAGAGGAATTACAGATTCTTTTTCATGTTTGTATGCTCCACGACCGTTCTGTGTCTCTATGTCTTTGCGTTCTGCTGGGTAAACATCATGCAGATAATGGATTATTACCATTGCAGTCTCTGGAGAGCTTTATCAAAGTCACCTGTTTCAGGAGTTCTAATTCTCTATACATTTGGAGCTGCTTGGTTTGTTGGAGGTCTCACAGGATTCCATCTCTATTTGATTCTCACTAATCAGGTTCGTTGCTCTTTACCTTTGTTGCTGCTTGGTGTTCCCTCTCTCTCTATCTCTCTTAGAGGTAATTTCCACTTGTGTGCAGACAACATATGAAAACTTTCGGTATCGGTACAATCTGAAGATGAACCCTTACAATCGTGGGTGTTTTAGCAATATTACGGAAGTCTTCTTCTCTGAAATTCCGAGATCTAAACATAACTTCAGGGAAGTGGTCAAGGGCGATACTTCTTCTGTCTACACCACTTCAATGCCATCAGGCCATCCCATGAGCCCAGAGATGCCCAAAGCAAGTTCTGACATAGAAATGGGAAAACGAAAAGCTGTTGCTGCTGAAGATCTGGAGGATATACAAACTCAGATTGATAGTGTTGGTGGATTGCAGCGGTGTGAGACCCAGCCAAGACGTACAAAATGGGATCACAATGCCAACTGGGGGAGCTCACCGGATATACAAATGTTGGCTGCGGAGTTTGGAATGGAACATGGTTCAACAGGCAGACAGAAAATTGAAGGGAGTATTAATCTGAAGAGCTAAATTATTGGTTAGAAATTGATGTTCTACTCTTACAGCCAAGATAACAGCTGCTAACCTGGAGGATCGTAATTGGTTACCGACATAGTGCTGAACTCCCCTGTTGGAAGGATGCGATCACAATCCAGTTCTCCATGGTCGGAATAAGAGCTCTGATTCAGACAAGTAGGAAGAGGAACTTGCATAGAATCAAACTGCCTTTATGGATACTTTGGGTCAAGTGTAGTGCTATAACGTTTTCAGCGAAACTAAGGTCCGCATCTACTCTATACATTATTCTTTATCAAATAACGGAAAAGCCTGTAGATTGTAGTTAGAGGTCCGGTGGTGGATTTGGTTCATGCGAGGGTTCAAGATTCATAGACATTTATGTGAGTTGTTTTTCCTTTTTAAGTTGGAAAGAACTGAAACTAATTTTTCTCCCAGAAATTAGACATGTGTAAACATTCTCCTGTGAAACTTTGTGTAATATATAGATTGGTGATGCACAAAATCAAATTGACTTTAGAACAACGTAAAGTATCGAGGTGTGACCTTTGCAAGGTTGTTTCAGTCACCTAATGTAGGTAATATGTAAAGAGATAGATATAGAGAAGCAAACACAAGATGTACGTGGTTCACCTTTAGTTGGGCTATGTCCACGAGAGTAGAGGAGTTCTCATTAATAATGTAGAGTTTACATAATACAAAGATTGAAGCATAATTATCGTTAGTGTGTTCTAATAATGGGTTAAGTAGAATAATAGCGTTAGGAATTAGTTGTAAGAAAATGGTCTCTTTTTATAGTTGAGGAGAGTCTCATGCTTTCGTCCGTTGTTGATGTGGGACTCTTTGGGAGTTTTATTCTGATGTTGACACGTGTAACATTATGGTTGGCCTTCTGGTTGGAGAGAAACTTTTATGCTTGGGCAGTGGTGCCTCAACACGAACCCTTAGGTATAAAGTTGACCTTGGCTCGGTAGTTGGGGAATTAATGAAGTAAGGTACAAACATAATGAACTTTTATCTCTCAAAGTTTAACCATTGAGGCCCTCAGGAATCTAGTTAGGACAGTGTGTACAAGGGTAGCGGCTGCATGTTTGACGTATAATGGTCGCTTGTCTGTTCCGCTGAAAATGCCGAAGCTTTTGCTGCTAGAGATCGAGCAATTTACGCGGGTGCCGTAGATGACTCTTATTACAAGCCATTTTTTAAGGTTACTCTAGTTAATAGTGATAGAGAATGTTTTTGTCGAGAGTTTTATGCATGTTCATAGAGGGAAATAGTGTAGTCCCCAGTATTAGCTTGTTAGGGTTAAGGAGCCTTCTGACTTTTGGGCTCTATTTGGAAGATTTATTTAATTCAGATTAAGGATGGTAATGGTTCGATTTGGGGATGAAAATGCTATATTCATTCCCATAACTACGAAAATTAACTATATCCATAACTGTAAATTAATCATCGGGGATTATCCATAACCATACTCACCGGGTAACAAATTTCTCATCAGTTAATGGTTATATTCATCTTCATCAAAAACAAAAAATTATATTCATTTAATTGACACACAATAATTTAGTAATACTAATTTCGTCATTAAATAGCCACATCTAATAGTAAAAAAAAATAACAATGAATGTATTTTGTTGGGTATAAAAATAGAGAGCTGCTAGACCCACCTCACAACCTTATTTATCCACCCCATGTTATAATCTCACCCTCATAAAAAGTTAAAAAATTAAAACACTCTTTTCTCACCCACCATATTCCTAAAATGTCCATCAATTTAACTATTTTTCAAAAATTTGCTTCTAATGATTCTTCAAAAGAGTGTCGATATTAAATCATAGTAATGTAACTGTGAAGATTTGAACATAAACATGGCTGCCTTGCACTGAAGAAGAACAAAAGTACAAGCACCAACTTGCTCTCTCCTTTCAAAACATCGTCCAAAATCATAGGAAATTCAGTGCCAGTTTTAGGTTCCATTGCATGTCTTGTAATACCCTGAAAAATTTTAATATATGAAATAGATATTCATAATTATGAATATGTGGAGAAAATCGAAAATAATTCGATTTATGATTATGGAAATAGAATTGGGAAATTTTAAAGTTTTGTTTCCGAAAATTATTATAAGTTACGTAATGTGTTATCGAGATTTTATGTTATTTTTTGAGAAATTATATTAATTTATTTGAATCTAGTTTTAAATTAAACTAGTTACGAAGTTTGAAGTTGGAAATTAATTATTTAAAATCCGTCGACCTTTTTAGGTCACAATTTATATTTTTGAATAGAGCTCGACCTCACGAACACGTGGGCACAAACCGTTCGTGAAACGGAGTTATAACGAAGAAGATACAAATAAGCAAAGAAAAGGGTGAAATGGCCATTTGGCCAATTTCTGGAGGGCTCCAGATCTTCTGGAGCAGAGAGGAATGGAGCCATGTGGCGGGCTGTGAGAGAAGGAATTGGGCACGGCCCAATCAGAAAAGAAGGAAAGGAGGGAAAGGAGGAGAGAGAGAGAAGGAGAGAAGGAAACGGGGTCTCTTCTTTGACCCGCGTGACCCGGTCCGAGATACCAAGCTCCGACGCCAATTCCGGTGTTTTTCTGGCGAGTTGGACATCGCCACCTTCTTCATTCGACTCAGTGACTCCCTTTCTTCCAATTTCAACTTAAAATATTGGGGAATTAGATTTGATTTAGTGCAACCCGCACTGGTGGGTGCGATGGGTCCGTGTCTTTGATTCCCCAATTCTGAAACAATTCCATCAAATTACTATCACCAATAGACTCCCCTTGAGGTTTGGAACAAAGGCCAAACAATTTTAGGGGCGGCGGAGCACCGGAGGTGACGAATCAAGGCCACCGGCGGGTTCGAGGCAAATTGGAGCCTTTACAGGCCAAATTGGACTTGGCCACAGGTATAAAGTTTGCTCTACTCGTAAAGATCTTCATTTCTGTAAAATTTGGAAATTTTTAGAAATAGTTGAATTTTCCGGCAAGTCGGGGCGGCTGTGGGTGAGGCGGCGTACAGGCAGGGAGCCGACATTGTGTTTTTATGTGAATTTCGTTAGTCGAATCATGCTTTTGAGATCTAAATTGATGTGGTTTGAATGCTAATACAATTGTGGTATATGTTGGATATATTCAGTTTTGGGTTTAAAATTTTGAAAATGTGAACTACGAATGGCTTGATCCCTGTTTAGAGTACGTAGGTAGTCTAGCGAGATGTTAGATGCAGCCATAAAATAAGTGAGATTTAGATGAAATTTTGACCTAAGAGAAGGAAATGGTTTTAAATTGGAAGTTAAATTGTATGTTTGGTCAATGAATAATGGTTATGAATTACACATGGTATGAAGGAAATTATTTGGTGAATGATGACTAATGATAGTGAATTCAATTGTTAATTTAAGGATATGATTTTGACATTAAGATAATATGGATAGCTTGTAAGGATTTGAATTTTTGACTTAGAGGATTAAGATTAATAAAAATAAATTAACTATGATTTTAATTTGGGCTTATCAACAAAATTAATTCCCGAAAATAAATATTTCGGGGTCGGGGCATGACATGTCTTCTCCAGTTCAAGATGGGAATTGGTAATCCTACACATCTTAATGCCCAACCTTACAAGGCCTTTAATCCATGATGTCTGTATTCTCCAATGGAACAACTAGTACATTTGAAGATCTGGTGAAGAAGGTTTGTAATCAACATAAAAAATAAAACCAATAGGGTAATTTTACACTTTAATCCACTCCCACGTGAAGGGTTTAAGACTTACAAGCTGCTGAAGAAAGCTAGTGTGTTCTCTTCGTGTTCTTTAATTTTTTTTTCTTTTGGCTAAAAAATATTTAGAATTAATTTTTATTAGGGCTTTAAAAGTCATTTTACAAAAGGTTAAATGTGTCATTAAATTTTTCATCAAAATGTGGGTGGGGAAATAAGAATGTGGGGTGGGTATAACAACTCTCTAAAAATAAGGGTATTTAATAAAACTTTGATGATGTGAGCTAGTGATATCTCCCATAAGCATTACGTTTGGTGCATAGTGAATATAGTATAGGGTTTGATGCATAATGAATATAGTATAGGGTACGATGAATACTAAATATATTATGCGGTGAATAATGAATGTTGGGTCCACTTCATGTCGAATTTTAACAATTCGAACCACCTATTTTATAAGTCTCGATTCCTAGATCATCCTTGAAAAACTTCAATTTAAGCCGAAACCAGTTGCCTATTTAATTATCACGTTGAAATTTCATTGTTTCTTAGAAAACAAAGTGTTCGTCAATTTCTTTAAACTCAATTAGATTCAAATATTTTCAATTTGGCTAATATTTTGTAAAGATGATCTATGAGATGTAAATTGAAAAATAGACGGTATGGATCATTAAAGTTGATGTAGTTTGGGCTCAACAACTAATCACCGTTTTTATTAAAAAAAATGGAGATCATTTTCCTTAAAGGCTTCTTTTATATATATATTACATAATACTATTATATATTATATATATTATTCGGTTTGGATTATGGGACGGATACAGATTGGGGACCCTATAACTATATTCAAAACCATAACCGATAAAAGTTCATGGTTTTTCCCCATATCCATAATATACCCAAATTTTCATACCCAAATCTGCACCATTTAGGCGATTATTCACGTTTATCAGATTTAATGATTTGAATTACCATCCCGGATTTAGATCCAACTTAATAAAAATTCATTCCCTTTCGAAAGGAAAAGAAAAGAAGTTAGAACACGGGAACCTAATTCCTTTTATCGAGCATAATAATGCGAATTCAAGCAGTTTGAACTCTCGGTCTGAAAAGTGCTGAAACAAGTTTCGAACAGCATAGAAATTGCTCTTTATCTCTCTCTCTCTCTCTCTCTCTCTCTGTGGATGAACATGCCTAAAACTTCATATCGTTAAAATGTTCCAGTTCAAATCAAACATCCTCCACATATATTACAAACCTAATCTCTGAGAAATCTTCATATCTCAAAGGTCATCCCAACCTTTGAGAAGCCCGTGGGATTGCCATCACCTCATCTCTCCTTGCCTAAAGTTTTTTCGCAAGAAACTGTAGGCATAGTTGACAACTATCTTCTTGAACATCGATGAGTTCTCTTCTGCTACCACCTCTGCCTCTCCCAGCAGAAGTGCTATCCGGTGCTCCATGGCAGCTTGCACAAAGGACTGCACGCAAAGTAAAATGTTTTGTGCACAAAAGTGGTAGCACACAAATTACTGATTGGATTCCGCTCACTGCAGAACGGACTGCATGCAAATTAAAATGTTTTTGATCTCTCTAGCAAGAAAAATGTCAAGGGATACAATCAACATGCATTTATTCGTTCAATAAGTCCAGAATTGTATGCCATGAAACTAGTATTCATCCTTACCACTTGGGCTAAGCCGAAGGTAAAGAATGGATTTTTGAAGCCTTCGGCTTAGCCAAGTGTATATATAAACCAAATTGCTCACAAATGCAATTTATGGAATATGGC